GAGAGAGAGAGAGAGAGAGGGAGTAACTTTGACTCTCTGCAACTGACCTTCTGTGCTCCTGTGCTTCGTCTTGTGCTGTGCTACTTTGTTGCCTACCCGACCAAAGGCGAATCTTCTTTTAGTCCCCATGTCATTCGTTGACGATCAACTCCCCAACTCCGTGGGGATTCCCGCATCTTCTGGTATCCAATGTCCAGGCTGTGATCTTTTGTGTCGTTCCACTGCCGGACTGAAACTCCATATGCGCGCCAAACACCCAACTATGCCAGCTCCTGTTCCAGTTTCTGTGCCTACCGCGTCATCATCCGGGGACTGTCTCTGCCAACAGTGCTCCTGTCGCTTTGTAACCGGTCGTGGCCTGTCACTTCATGTGAAGAGTGCCCATCCGGAGGTGTACTTCTCTGAACGAAGGCGCCTAGCTCCCTCACGGTCCAACTGGACTCCTCAAGAAGACTCTTACCTGCGCCGTTGCGCATCTGCTGTGTTGGAGGCGAGTGGTCCACTTGCTCTCCGTTCTCTCGCTCGCGAGGTGGTGGTTCATTTCCCCACGCGCAGCGCTGAGGCCCTATTTAAGCGACTTTCGAAGTTAAACAAAGACCAGCCGCTACTTGCTGCTCCGGTCTCGGAACCGGTTGTCGATCCATCCCTACCTCTCTCTTCTAATACTTCTACTATTGAACCAGATCAAACTCAGGTGCACCGAACTTCGCTCTTACACTCCGCGGCTACGCTGCTGGAGGACTCACCATGCGAGGCCCTTGCTACCGAGGAGCTCTTGTCCCTCGTGCTAGACCTACTCATGGAAGAGGGGAGTTTACCTGAAGCTGCTGTGCGATTGGACTCTCATGCTACTGTTGTGTTTCCAAAGCGATGGAGTCCTGGAGTAAACCGACGGCCTGCCGCAGCTGCGCGCCCCACCGCCAGCCGCCGAGATCAGTATACGGAAGTGCAAGCTCGTCTTGCCGAGAACCATAATGCCGGAGCCCAGTTCATCTTATCGGGTGACTGGCACAATGCCCCTTGTCCAGATCAACCGTTACCAGCCGGAATGCTGGAATTTTGGCGGGAGCTCATTGAGCGCCCCAGTGATCCGGACCAACGGCCTACTCCGAATCCAAGTACTGTTGCTTGGGGAATCATTGATCCTATCAGCTCGACTGAGGTTTCTCAAAATCTCCGCCTAATGCAGGCTTCTGAGGCGGGCATTGACGGACTGTTTGCGAAGGATCTGCTGCGCTGGCCGCCGGCTGCCATTGCTGGCTATTTGAATGTGATTCTAGCGACTGGCCATCTCCCAACCCAACATTGCATTTGCAGAACTACCTTGATCCCCAAGGTTCAGCGTCCTCATCTTCCTTCGGAGTACCGCCCTATAGCAGTCTCCAACATTATCCTTCGCTTACTCAATCGTATTCTTGCTAACAGGTGGTCACGCCTCTGTCCTACCGCCCGCTTCCAGTTTGGTTTCGAGGAGCGAGATGGGACGGCAGAGGCGACGGCTTTACTTCACGGAATGTTACGGCATGCGGTCTCTGCTCCAAGATCCATTGCTGTGGCCGTGCTAGATGTTGCTAAGGCCTTTGATTCCGTGAACCATGACACGCTCTTGCGAGCCGCCACCGTACACGGAGCGCCACCTCTACTTCTTGATCTCCTATCTTCCTCCTACGCCCGAAATACTACCCAGATCTTTGACATTGAGGTCCGATGCCCGCGTGGTGTCCGCCAAGATGACCCCCTCTCCCCCCTTCTCTTCTCTTTTGCTCTATCGGAAGCTATCTCCTATTCTGATCGGCAGCTTGGCTTCGAGCTGGATGGAGTGACCGTGGACTGCATTGCATATGCAGATGAGCTCGTGCTTTTTGCCGAATCGCCCCATCGACTCCAACAGAGGCTGGATGGTCTGGCCAATGGCCTCTCCCTTGCCGGTATGGTCCTTAACTCTGCCAAGTGCGTTTCCTTCTACTTACAAGCGCTTGGCAAACAGAAGAGTACATGCCTCCAACCGTGCGATGTCTCAATCGGGGGGATGGTATTGCGCTCGTTAGGGCCGACGGACACCTTCGATTATTTGGGGGTGCCCTTTTCCTACCGCGGGCAGGTGACAGTAGGCCATCGTCCGGTTCCTCACAACATGTTGGAGGAGATAACCCGAGCACCTCTGAAACCACAGCAGCGACTCACGCTTCTTAAGCGTCATTGCCTGCCAGAACTTTTGCACCAGTTGGTACTTGGAGCAGTACATCGCAGCACACTAAGACGACTGGATGTACAAGTACGTCAGGCGGTACGGAAGTGGTTAAAGCTCCCGGCGGACACGTCAATCTCCTTCTTACATGCTGCTATTCGAGACGGGGGCCTTGGTGTTCCATGCTTGGCAGTTCTCGTACCTTTTGCTAAGCGCCGACGACTGGACTCAGTGCTCTCCTCAAAAGAGCCTGCAGTACGAGCAGCTGCCGCTGTCCCTTCTGCCTTTCCTGGTATGCGGCTAGCAGCTCAGCCGGTGCGTCTAGGCCAATCGGTCCTGCCAAGTAAAGAGGACGTAAGGAACTACTGGAGGAGTTCTTTGTATGCTTCCGCGGATGGTCGACCGCTCGCTCACTTTGCTGAATCTGCCGGTGCCAATCATTGGCTCTCTTCTCCGGACCGAGTCTTCCCATGGCTCTTCTTGCGTGGCATCCACCTTCGGGCGGGTGTTCTCTCTACTAAGGCCCGCAAATCCCGGAGAACCGGCTCTGAGGATGTATTGTGTCGAGGCCAGTGTGGCCAACGTGAGACCTTATTCCACATACTCCAGTGCTGTGAAGTGACGCATCATGCCAGAGTGTGGCGACATAATTTGGTCATGACGTTACTAGCAGAACTGTTGATGAGGAATGGACGAAACCTCCTAATTGAGCCCCATGTCCCCGAGGGCAGTTCATTCTGCAAACCGGACATCGTCATCAGCACCGAGAATTCAATAACGGTGATTGATGTGGCCGTAGCGAGAGAAGACATAATGGACCGCGTCTACGCTGATAAAGAGCGACGCTACTCAACGGAGGAAGTCCAGGTGAACCTTCGGAGGATCCTGTCGAAACCAGCCAATACTCCCGTGTATCATATACCTGCAGTCTTCTCAGCGCGCGGAACCATTTCTTCCCGTAGCGAAAGTCTTCTAGGATCCCTTGGATTATCTACGTCCGACCTGTCTGACTTATGTTTGGCAGTGATTCGAGGATCCTTGAAGGCTTACGATGTCTATGCTCGTGGAGCTGGCGGTGTTGGGGCTAACCGACGCGAAGAAACCCGGGAACCATATGAAGCTGGTGTCGGTGACGAACACTAGTGGATGAACTGGCCCTGGAGAACACCAGGATGATGTCCAACCAATCCTAATCTTGCCCCCAATATGCCTTATAAACCTGTTCCGGTGAGCCCACCTTCTTCTTCAAATTTCGTCTTCTTCTATTTTCATACTCGAAGGAGGAACATGATTCGTTTTTAAAAAAGTGTCTAAATGTAGGACTTAAATACCGTGAAATGGCCGTTCATAAATCGTCATGTCTCTGCATTTACCGATGTGGCTTGTAAAGTTAACAATATGGATCAAATCCACTGCTAAATTTCATGAGTTCTATATGGTATCTCTTTATTTCCGTATAGTAATGTTTTGTTTTCCATACGCGGAAAATATACAGCTTGTAGTTCGGAAACACTGAATCCAAGTGTAGTGGTAGAGCGGGCTCACAATTATTCCGGAATTGGAGAAGTTTTCGAAAACCGAATTATACCCTTCCTTCGAGTATAAGATTGGAAGAGGACGTTATTTTCCACCGAATAAGCGAAAGAATGGATATTTTTATCCATGTTTTCCATGAAAATTAGACTTTTAGGGGCATTGAAGATCAACGAGAATAATTCACGCTACTTATGCAGTCATTTTTTACAGAGTGTAGTTTTTGCATGCAGCCGGAAGGAAATTTGTTCGAAAGCTGACATTCTGGGATAAATGAAATATTATAGAATTATGTTGCAGGCTGACTAGTTTTATAACCCTACTTAGTTAATCTTTTCAAAACGAAAACGCATTTCGGAATTTCGTTTGACATTTCATGACTTAGCCCACCTACTGTATGTACCTTTGCAATAAACTGTAGTGCATAAAGCTTTCAGGAAAACCGAATTTCTTCATAATTTCCCCGATTCCATGACGATTCACTGCGTCGAAGGCCTTCGTTAGATCCTTAAAGGTTGCGTTAAGGTGGATCCGCACCCCCTGGGACTTCACTTGTAGTTGGCAGATGGCGAACATCATGTCAGTGGTTTCTGCGGTGTCGTCGGGAACCACACTGGCTTTTCGAAAGAAGTCCTTGTTCCAGATAGTCGTTAAGACGATTGAGGAGTATGCAAGCAAATATCTCCCCGGCAATGTGCAGCGAGATTACCCTGTGATTATCACAGAGTTGCCGGGTCCCTTTCCACTTATATGAATGGGAGATAGTCGCCTTCTTGAAATCCCGGGGAAAGTTTCATTGATGTCACATCTCTTGGAATATCATTCTAAGTATTTATAATCCGAGGTCGCCGTGCCCAACAATGACCTCTCTGTGATAATTAGGAGCGAGAGGGAGAGGCTTCTTTGCGGCCCCATCAAGTCTTGTCAGCGGTGTGTCTCAGCCTCATCTGCCGACCAGTCGGAATCAAGGTGGGGCAGTGTCGGTATGCGAACCCTTCGATAGTGATACTCATAGTTGAACAACGCATTGCTTCCAGTGCAGCGGAGTGAATGGGACCTAACTGGAGACGTTTCACTGATAGACAGGTAAATGTACCTATCCACTAGGTAGGTAGGCTTCTAGAGAATACAGACAAGTCATTTTATGCCTCACGGGAATAGTCGGGGTGGAGTCGTGAAACGACTGAATCGTCAGTATACGCATGTGTATCTCCAGAGCGGCGTCTAAGTATCCTTTTTCACTGAGGTTTCATATAATTTCTTGCCGTTCGAAAATTTTGAACCCTTTCAAGTTATTGGATTGTCAGAGGCTCCCTGCGTCAGTTGTTCAAGTGGATGTGGAGGAGGTATTGTCCATTCAGAAATTGATATTTCGGATGGTTTAATTGTGACTTCGACTCCGCTATATGAAAGTATGAGATGAATGAAGTCTACGCTATCCTCACATGTGCATTCTCTTTTCTAGACTTTGCGAGAGTTTGCCTGTGATGTATGTGGACGAAACTTCTCAAATAAGGGAAAACTTGAGAGACAGGTTGCTGTTATCCACGAAGGTATGTCTCTTTTTTGCTCTACAACTGGTTTGCCTAAGAAATGTCTCTGCACAAGACGGTTAGTTTTAAGACAAGGAATGTCCACAATGCTGGTCGAAACCTCCTGTGCTTATTGTGCACCGAATGCGAATGTTGCTAACTCTGTGGACGCATTCGTTGTGCTGGTGGGACTTTAGCACTGTACATCCAAAGTCTGTAGAGGCCGCTAATTCTGTAGTGTGCATTAGTTACCAACCAATGTTGACTGGCAGTTTACCCCATCATGTCCTCTCACCGGGCCAATTTGTCTAGTATCATTGGCTAGGAACTTTCCGAAGTGCTCAGGGCAAGTCTGGTGAAGGCAGTCGGTGACTATCTCGCTCTCATCACGGTTCCTGTAGCTAATGCAGACAGGGGTTGGTCGGATCTTATTTCGTAGCCGTACCTGCAGTAGACAAGCCCCAGCCTCACCCTTAACTCTAACCCCGACCAATAGCCTTAACCCCTTACCCTTAACCTATAACCCATAACCCCTAACCCCATGCCCAACCCCCAACCTTAACCCCTAACAGGTACGGCCACGAAATAAGATCTTGCCAAGCGGTTATTTGCGACACCACATACTTAGTCATGAATTTTAGATTATTCATACTTGAATTGATCTGACTCTATGCAACAGTCAGCGAAACAACGCACAGTTCACTCGGTCCGACCGACTCCTTGTGGTGTCAGCCTTTTGCGTTACTGTCTACCAAGTGCTGTCACGTGCATCGATGGCTTACAAACAGGGAGGGGTTAAGCGGAAACAAGAGGAGAGATTCATCTTTGACGCTGGTTTGCCATTAAGGAGTGGCGGACACTTCGGAGGGCTTGGCCGGCTCTCCATTATCAAAGCGTTTTTTGCAAAAACTCGACCAGAATTTCCAATAAATGGCCGAATTAGTTAGCCTTCGGTCGACCAATTCTTTTTCCTTTTGCTGCCTTGGCTTTCTAACCGTTGTCTGTGAATGCCGGCGGCCTCCTGCGTTGTGTATCGTCACCCCAATGGGAGTCGGTTGCGCCTATGCTCCCCTTTTGGGGGAATTAGTTGACGGGTCGTGTTTGTTCGGCATTTTTAACCCCCTGTGACCGTATTGTCCCGGTCATGGTGTATGTAGTGACGTAGGACTTTATAGACCTCAGAATGGTCGAGATGCCTGTTGATGGAATTGGCATTAGAGTACCAACCCTCGAGTGTGAGACGTTCTGCCCATGAGGCGCCCCAGCTTAAGACGGTGAGCCCTTCAATATTCCCAGATTGTCGACCCAGATCTCTTACGTTTGCCAACTTGAACATTCAATTTTGTTTGTGAGACGTTAAAACTATTCCCGAGAAAAGCCACGAACATGGATGGAGGAGATCCGTTTTATTTGTATTTCAGGACGTCGGGAGTTTGTCTGAGAGATTTGTGGCAGGGGATTTGCGCGTGGGAGACAACTGAAGGTGCATGTCGATGCTATCCACAAAAGTAAGTTTGCCGATACAAGCGAAGATGTGAGTTCCAGGAACTAGTTGATAAGGAGTAAAAGCGATCGTTGGGACAAGACCTTTATTCGCCTGACGTTTCGGATTTTCGCTCGAAGAGGCAGGAACAGAAACGAATCTGTTACTGTCGCTGTCTTTGTTCGAGCGATAATCCGAAACGTCTGGCAGATGAAGTTCCTGTTCCAGCGATTGCTTCTACTCCTTATCAAAGGTAAATTTGTTGGCTACTACTGGTTTTTCATTTCCGTTTCGAATCGTCCTTGCAAGAGACCCTGTCTGTTGTGTTTTCTGAAAAAGTTCCACTTCCAGACATCGCTAGGAGCATTGCAGGGGGTTGATGACACAGCTGTTTTCCCTTGCCGGTATCTCCTTGCCGTCATGCTTGCTGTTTTTTTTTCAAGCTGAATTTGCACCCAGTTAGACATTGCCCAAACCCAATGCTAGAGCTGTACTTTCCAAAATAGCCTTTGTGCCGTGTGGAGACGCCAGCCTTTCCTGCAATTTAATTGCAGCGGAAATGCTCTCATTTTTGATAGGACCATTCTCACTTTTTAAAAATTCTAGATTTTTTGGAGAAATATTTCCCCGGCATGAATTTAAAACGGGCATGCACAGCAGGACTTATGAACTACAACCTGTCGCTGCATCACAAAGATAACGAATGAGAAGGATACAGAGATTTAAGTCTCCGCAGAAAAAAAATCGATTCAAAACAGCAAAGGCATCGTTTACCACGCACGGACTAATCAATGAAAATGGCAACTTAAAATCACAACTAAGGGAAGAAAACGGGGAACTTAACACTCAGAAGGGGTATGCATATTAAAGGACTGGTATTTACCAGGGCAAGCTGAGGTTAGGATGCATCATTGAAAGGACATACAATGCAGCCGAAGTTACATTCAGCAGTCCCACTAAAGCTGTTCCTATTCCACGGGCAAAGGATGCTTTGCCATTGCATGTCCTCTATAATTGTGTTCATGAATTTACGTGCACTTGTAGATGTGAGTACACTGGGCGAGCGCGAAGGCAATCGGCAAGCAGGTCAGTCGAGAACACAGACAAGTCATTTTATGCCTCACGGGAATAGTCGGGGTGGAGTCGTGAAACGACTGAATCGTCAGTATACGCATGTGTATCTCCAGAGCGGCGTCTAAGTATCCTTTTTCACTGAGGTTTCATATAATTTCTTGCCGTTCGAAAATTTTGAACCCTTTCAAGTTATTGGATTGTCAGAGGCTCCCTGCGTCAGTTGTTCAAGTGGATGTGGAGGAGGTATTGTCCATTCAGAAATTGATATTTCGGATGGTTTAATTGTGACTTCGACTCCGCTATATGAAAGTATGAGATGAATGAAGTCTACGCTATCCTCACATGTGCATTCTCTTTTCTAGACTTTGCGAGAGTTTGCCTGTGATGTATGTGGACGAAACTTCTCAAATAAGGGAAAACTTGAGAGACAGGTTGCTGTTATCCACGAAGGTATGTCTCTTTTTTGCTCTACAACTGGTTTGCCTAAGAAATGTCTCTGCACAAGACGGTTAGTTTTAAGA